GTCTTAAGCTTACATATATATATGTATGTAATAGAAAGAAAAAAAAAAACATTTTGAATAAAGTGTTTTTTTTTTTTTACTTGGACTTTTCAACGATACATGTCATTTTTAAATGCAACCTCTTCTAACAGATTTTAGCATAGCATTTTGTCCACACAAAATTGCTTATTTGAGAACAAAAACTACAAAAAAAAAAACTCTTATAGACCTAAAAGGATGTCTACAAGAAACTTATATAATGGTCAGCATCTCTGATTGTCTCTCACAAGTCCTTTGTTTGACAAAATATTATAATTGTTTTTTTAGATATGCAAGTTCTTGAAAACATTTTGATATTAGTAACTTTGTGCCATTTAATTATGATTTAAACATTGTTAGAATAAAATTGATTCATCATCACTAATACATTATGTAGAAAAATATTTTTCCAGTTTTACAGACTACAGAAATATGTCAAGATGTAGCTAGTTTATGCAAATTTTGAGGGTAAAATTAAACTAGAAAAGGACAACCTTTTATAACATGCAATCACAAGTAATAAATACTATGCATGGAAAATTGCCATTGTTTATGAACATTTTTGACTAAATTGATTTACTTTGTTGTGCTCCTACAATATCCTCATGCTACATGCTATCCATTTGTGTAGAAATTCAGACAAAATATTTTCCCACTTATCAAAAGATCCACTCCGGATAATCATGGCAATTGCATTCAAATTTTTTTATTGTCACAGGATCATAAACAGTTTGCTTCTCTGATATAATGACATGCATGGTCTGGGACATGAGACCTTCAATTTTAATGTTTTCACACTGTTATTTTGTGCCTGAAAATACAGAAAAATGATTTTTCTGTGTTTATCACCTACTGAGAAACATCTCAGCCTCCCATCATTTATTTCCAGTTGAATTCCTTTCACATTAGCCCATGCTATCACAAAGTCTGAAGGTCTCACTAGAAGAACCCAGTCAAATACATTGTTCTATTCCTAATGTTTGGGAGTTCCACTAAAGTGGCATTTATATTATTTTATTAGCAATGAATTTCCATTTCCAATGCTTGTTGGTTTCACAGGACAAAGAAAAGTCATCAGGAAGTGGGTAGAAGCTATGCTAAGACCAGTAGCAAAAAAGCTTATAATGGGAAAAAAAATACCAGGTGAGGTCTGTCTGACCCAACTAAAATTTTCTGGGTTTGAGCATATCCAGTAGATATTGAAAAATGGATTAGATGAAACACCATTGAGCTGCTGTTGAACATGCAATGGCTTGAAAAAATCCTCTGTTGATGTCAAATTTCAGTCAGTATATGTAGAGTCCATTTACACATCCAGATTTTTCTTAGGTAATGTAAATACACACCCATGCAGAGTTATTTAGAGATTATCAGGTATATAAATATGAGGGTAATTCCAAAAGTAAGGTTGCCTATTTTTTTAGAAATAGAAAGAAACATTTATTTTCAATAATGTTCATATGATTTTAAAGCTTGAACATTTATGTGAACCCGCAGATTTTTACAGGCTTCTTAAAAATTTAAATTTTCTATTAATTGAAAATATCTGCAGAAAAAATCCGAGGAATTTGAACTAGATCAGATGTCACCGATTGTACTAACAACTAGATGGGAAAGTTTACAAAGTTTAAGAATGCACCGTCATCGTCAACAAAAATCAATCACGTGTCAGTTTTCCTACGCAAATGATATAAAAGCTCGAATCTCCGGAAGCTCAGGTCGATCTCTAGGAAGTTATACTTTTTGATGTGTGCATCTTGTCTCCCAGACCTCCATACAATGGACTCGACCCGACAAAAGGAGAAGATACCATATAGAAGACCATAGGAACTTCCACATAACACTTAATCGCCACATAGAGCTCTCTTTGAGGTAATTATTTGAACCCTCTCTCTCCCTAAGCGTATTTTTAGTTTAACCCTCAGAGGAAGGAGTATGTTAGCCGCATTTATTCTGAGTTGTATTTAACCGCATTTAACCTATATATTGTTATCGCTTTATGTATCATAGCTTAGCCCTTCAATTTATTATTTTGTTGAACCTGTTTCCTGTCATTTAAGGACACCTGTCAGCTTCCTCACCCACTCGATTTGCCCTCCTAGCCATCCAATGACCCTGAGATCGGGTTTTACCAGCCTGTGCAGAGTAAGTGGTCATTTGGGGATTAACCAGTGACCCACTGCTAATCTCACATTTATCTATTTTTCTACATAATCACCATTTCATTTTCTACATAATTGATGCATTTTTGTATGCCCATGTCACCAGCTTGCCGCTGTGTCGTGTTAAACCGATTGAAATTCATCACTAATTGACGAAATGTATGGCATGTCATGCATAGATGTCAAAAACGTACTCAAGTGGTGTAGGGAGTTTGCAGCACATCGTACTGAAATTCATGATAAAGAAAGAAGTGGGAGACAGTCGCAAAGGTTGAGCAAACCATGTGTGAAGATCGGGGAATCACTCTGGATGATCTCTGCATTTTGGTTCTTGGAGTTTCCTGAAGCACCATTCATAGGATTTTAACAGAAAAGTTGCAATATCGGAAGGTGTGCGCAAGATGGGTCCCGTGACATGGTGGCGAGCTGGTATGACATGGGCATACAAAATCTGTTACAGTGCCTACAAAAATGCATCAACCAAAATGGCGATTATGTAGAAAAATAGATAAATGTTCAAGCTTTAAAATGATATGAACATTATTGAAAATAAACATTTCTTCCTATTTTTAAAAAATAGGAGACCTTACTTTTGGGATTACCCACATAATTTGTGGACATTGGTTAAGATACAAAAACACTAGAATTAATATTATTTTTCTGAAGTTTGCATTAGTTTCATGGGAGGAATTTAATACTAGAGATATAATATGTGCAGTACGTAATCATCATTACATTTTTTATACACGCAGCTAGCTATGCTATAATTTTATATTTGACTCAAATATTTTCTGTAAAATATACTGTGTGATCCATTTGGAATGTTTAGTAGCCTGTAATTGATTACTTTGTGTTGAAAGGTTGTCAATTTTGGTGTGGTATATAAAATGGAAGAGTATTACTCATGTCTAGGGAGAGTTCTGACAAGTTTAAGAGTGTTACTATACTCCATTATGAAAGGTTATTAGAATTTCCTGCAAGTCAGTCTGATTTTGCCTCACACATCAGGAGGAAGTGTATGTGTCAATACATGAAGATGTTTCCACAGCACATTATGTATGTGACAGAGGAAACAACAATCAGTGGGTTTTCTCTGAGAGAATGAACACACCCAATGCTATCACGCAAGCCTGAAAACCGTGTGGTGTGGAATGAGTTGTAATAAAATGTGCAGGCTATTCATTTTCATGGAGGACACTACATGGGGACATGAAGAGTGTAATCTTCCAGCAAGACAATATTTTGCCACATTCAATGACAATTAATGTAGCCATAATGGGTCATTACATGATACAAATTCCTTGGATTTTTTTTTTGTGTGTGGACTATGTGAAATCAACGGTATATAGCCAATCTCCAGTAGCTTATTACACTGGCTTCAGTTCAGCAACCTAGCACATACTGTGTATTTTCCACCATCACAGTGATGTTGAGTTTCTTTTAAACAGAAACTGACAACTTCCAATACACATTTATAACATTTAATAACCTGTAATTGAATTATTTTTTCTGCTATATCACTCTACAACATATTCAATTATTGTGATGCATGATCAACATTCCCAACTTAATATCCTTGCACACTGATTTCTGAATTGTCAAAAAATTGTATAATAGGTTTCAATGCAACCTATTTAGTTGGAAATATTTAAGCACATACAAATGTGTGTGGTTTTTTATACATTATGGATGATATCAAACAAATAATAAAAATTATCATTGGATTGCCTTCACTAATAACCATGATTTTTGTTTTTAGAACAAAGGTGTATGCATCACAACATTTGGCTGATAGATTATTACCATACTTATCATCTGTATAGAATTTATTAAACAACTTTTCCTTTTCATAAAAACTTATAGTAAATTTTGCATGCAATTGCACTAGCAGATCATGCTTTAAATAATCTGAGACATAATTTGTATGTAAAAAATAAAGAAATAACTGTAACTATCCTGTGTAAAGCAATAATTTTAAAATTCATACCTTGTCTGTCATTTCTTTCTAGATTGTTAAGTGGAATCATTTCATTATTGTTACTAGAAATTTTGGCTGTCTGAAAAATATATATATGAAATTAGTTAGACAATTTTAATAAAGAACAGCTTTACTAATTTCAAATTTTACCTGGCTAAGTTTAGGATCATCATCTTTCAAATATTCATTTAATGGATTAACACTAATATTAACTTTCTCTTTTCCTTTCAAAAATCCATTGGTTGAAGGTATGTGACCGTTAGTGTCGGGTTTCACTTGGAGTTCTAAAGTAGTTTGATTTGCTGGACAGATTGTATGTGTTAATTTAATTTTAATTATTAACATTTATTCTATTACTGATCATAACTTACTTTGTAAATGTCTCCTTTGTCTCTGTTGTTTCTGAATACATAACACCATGAAGATCAGCAAGACCAACAGCATTATTCCCAAAACACTTCCAAGAATGATGTATATGAGTTTGCTACTTTCCACAGATTTTGTAGCTACACTTTTGCTTCCGTCATTAGTTGTTGACCTATCTTGTTGTGGTTTGTTATGATAATTGTTGACATCTGTAATCTGGGATGCTATAAATATATAGTGTTTTTTGGTTTTGCACAATTAATGTACTTCAAAAATTTTTCTTATCTTATCTTGCAGTATTCACTATATTAAGAAATGTATAAATAATACTCACGTAATGTTTTGCATGTATAGATATTGGAGAAATCAGATGTTCCGTAAATGTTAAAACACTGCATTTTAATATCATATGGAGTTTCTGGAAGCAAATGAGATAAAATGTGCGATTGTGTGTTTGAACCCAATACGATGACTTGTGAATATTCTCCGGCACTGTGTGTGGCTCGATAATAAATAAAAAAGCCTTCAACTGGAATCGAATCAACTTCTTCGTACTGAAAATGTTTTTATACATTAATGCCTATTGCAGTTTAATTTAGAACTTTCCGTGAAAGAACTTACTTTCCAGTGTAACATAATGGCCGACTGACTGACTGCTTCGGCCTCCGTTATTGTCGGTCCCGATTCTGGTTTTTTTACTGGAGGATCTTTATGAAGAATAAATTTTGCAGAGCTGGGACCCATTTTATTATCTTGATTAGCATAAACAGCTGCAATTCTAAATCTATATCGTCCACCTATTTGAAATTAATGTAGACTTTTAATTTTCATGTGTTGTAATTTTATACAAAAATATTTGTCATTTATTTACCAGTTTTCAGTCCACTCACTGCATGAGCATGAAGATGAGAAGCTATGTCTTCATCAATTGTTATCCAGACATTTCCCTTTTTCCCCACTTCCTTATACTGAACACGAAAAAATATTATTGGCAGACCATCATTCTGTGGGACATTCCATCTCACCATTACAGAATTGTCCGATAAACGAGTAACTTCGGGTTTACTGGGTGGCACCATTTTTACTAAAAAGAAATTATTATTATTCGAGTAAATGAAATAATCTATAGAAAAAGAGAAAGTTTCAAATCCTATTATTTATTATTGTAATTAAAACATTTTGTGTAAAAGTAATATTAAACAGTTTTTTTTTCATTGAAATATAATAACTATATTATTCTAATCCTGTCAAGAAATAATATACAATTATTAGTAGATTTTTCTACATTAAATAACAAAAATGATGTGTTCAGGACGGATGATTTATTACTAATAAATGCGTGTCACTCTTGCCAGTATTTGGATGCTCTCTTTTTCATGATAAAATAATTAATTATTTTGCTGTAGTGTTAGCTGATGCAATAAAGATGCGAGCTGCTGCTTTGAAGAACTCAAAATTTTCAATGTGGACTGAAATGAATATATTAGATCCCATCTCTAACCTCTTGACCACTTCCATGGTAGATTTCACATTGAGAACATGAAAATGGCCTTCTTAATTCTGTCCTTGTATGCATTAAAATATTGATACAATTACAAAAAGTAGTCTAACATGTTATTTTTGTAGGAAGGAACATCAATCCATACAAATATCTGCCTGCCTTGTCAAATGACCATCATTTCCTCTATTGCCATAGATATGTTTTGGAAACTTTCTTTCCCTCTTCAATATGACACTACTGCAGAGATGTCTTGTCTATAAAAAAAAAAAAAAAAAGTCATATTGAAGAGGGAAAGAAAGTTTCCAAAACACATCTATGGCAATAGAGGAAATGAAGGTCATTTGACAAGGCAAGCAGGCAGGTATTTGTATGGATTGATGTTCCTTCTTACAAAAATAATTTCCAACAATACAATATGGTTTCAAAGCACGACTCTAACATGTTTTTTAAATATTAAGCACTGTAATTTGCAATCATCTGTATATTCAAAGATGAATAAAGTTAGTGAATCATCAAGTAAAATTTGTTTACTTACTTCCTTTATGCTTTCTTTTTTTGTGTCCTTTCTTATCACCTAAAAAATCTTGAAATGCATTGTGGCCATCATACATTTCTAATAAGAATACTTAAACTATAGCTAATTTATATTTAGATTTTTATTAATTTAATAAATTTTGTAAATTAAAAGCATTTTACTAACCCTCTTCCTCTTCCTCTGTTTCCTCGTCACTCCCCCAGTCTCTTGATATTTTTGAGGTATCGTGAATATCGATAACAAATACTCCGTAGGTCGATCCCAAAGCATTTATTGCAAAGCACTGATAAATTCCTGAATCTTTTAGTAAAGATTTCTTTATGTTTAGTAATCCTCCTGAACAGAAAATATTTTATTTTTTTGTTAATTGAAATTTAAACAATTATAAAGTAATTAATGTATGATGCCAAAATTACCTTTTACATGGATCCGACTGTTTGTCACAAGTTTTTTGCCATTATGAAACCATTCAATATGAGGTTTGGGGTAACCTTTAGCAATACATTCCACAGTTATGTTTTCACCCTTTATGATCTGTTTGTCATCGGGTGAACTTAATAAATGAGGTATTTCTAAAAATTAAAAATTAATATTAATAAAACTGATGAATGAAATTTAAGTATAATGCATGCATTATTTACCATGAATATATATATTTGTAGATGCAGATATTCTTTCTCCAATACCATTAAAAGCATGACAAATATATGTACCTTCATCTTCCTGAACAACATTTAACAGCACTAAATTTCCTATTGAAAATTTATCAAAAATATGAATATTTGTTGTTGTAAAATATGTACAATATCATAAATTTATTTTTAATATTTTAAAAATACAATGCTACTTTGTGATTTCAATCATCTTTTTATCTCTGGTACATGTATTGTTTTGTTGTACAATTGAAATCTCCTTTCCTTAATATATAAAAATCATATTTAAATACAAATGATTGTTAACTATGAAATCAATTTTAACATATTATTATTTAAACTTTATTTTGTGACATTTAATCATGCAAAAACAAAACTTTGTCTCATTTCTGTTATTTAATGGTTGCTGAAAAATTTCCCATATTTATTACTTTATTTTCTAATGACTTAGTTCAGTTATCTGTCTATTTTGAATATGTGAATTTGAAGGATTTTTAATAACAAGTCCAACATGTAATCAGGTTTGAACATTAAAGCTTTAATTGAGTAATAGGTTCAGAAAATTTAATATAACAGCTAACAGGTATTAGCTGGCCAGATGGCAAGGCAATTCAGGCATCAGTCTTGGAGATCCAGCATTGAATCTAGTCAGGTTGAAACCCCAGGAATTTTTTGTGAAATGGTCTGTCTTTGGTATGCTAAAATTATTGATATGCTAATAATCAGAAAATTGAATGGCCATGCCATACAAGAAAGGTTAATGTTCCACCCCTCAACTGGAATATACTGTATAAAATGAAGCAAAGAATTTATTAGTAAGCTTGCTAACTAAGTTTTTGTTCTCTACAGTATTATTTCTTTTTATCTAGCTATCTAAATAAATGGCTGAAATTGTTGAAAAAAATATATTTATTATGGATTAATTCTATTTTAATTTGCTTAACACTCCAGCAGATAGGTTTATTAAATAAGTTATATTTACAATAATGAACACCCTTAAAAAGAGTTGCCATAACTTCAAAATCAGAAATAGGGACATTAGATGCTCTGGAAAACAAGTCAATAATTCTAAACTAATTTTATTGAATAAATTTTACTTTCTCATCACAAATTTAGCCAGGTACATGATTAAAAATAAATGTTGTCTTAGTGCCCACAGGATAAAGAGTCAGGAAAAAAGTTGACCTATGTTCAACATAACCATTGATCCACTGTCAATGATTGCATGAAACTATGCCAACAGAATGTGATACAAAAGTCACAGATTCCTAAAAGTGCATGCTCAACACTTGCAGACACTTACCACCAATAATTCTTATTTGACTCTTAATACAAATTGGGACATGCTAGGAAAAATTTTCTTATCAGCTAATGCTCCAAATCAGAAAAATCAGGACTTATGACAATTCTACCCTTACATTTATTTTGTTTGGATACATAATTTTTTCTTATCGTGATTTTTAGAAAAACAGATTTAAAAAAAATTAAGCTTAAAATCTCTTCATGGCATTGCTTTAATTGCATTTAAAATTATTTCTGACTTTAAATTGTGGACTTTTAGATTTAAAATCAGAATCAGATTTATATAATTTACATAATTAAAAATAAGAATACTTTCACTAGTTATACAGTGGTACTTCAGGATATAAAATTAATCCATTCCGAAACTGAGATCGTATAATGAAAACGTTGTAAGGTGAATCGTTTTTCCCCATACAATTACATGAAAAACCAAATAATTCGTTCCAACATGAAAAAAACACTCAAATTAAAGCTAAGTAGTACATTAAAAAAAATAACTATAGTAAGGAAAACACTGAAAAATGCATTTTGTAGTTGTAAATGTATAAATAACCATAATAGAATAATAATTGATTAAAAAAATGTAGTTTTATTTGCACTTTACCTTTGAGGATAGACGA